CCTTCTCCAAGGACTGATCTCTCCTGACCACATGCCCAGAGTAAGTGAGATGGAGCTTCAAAATCCTAGCCTCCAAGGAAAAACTTGATTTCATTCTCTCCAAGACAGATCTATTTGTTTTCTTGGCAGTCCATGGTATGTTTGGTACTCTTCTCCAACACCACAACTTGAAGGCATTGATTCTTCTTCTTTCATCCTTAGTCATTGTCCTCTGAAGCATAACAATAATTGCAAAGACCATGATGGCCTGTGTTAGGCAAACCTTTGTCTCTAGACTGACATCATTGCTTTTCAGCACTCTGGAGAGGTCCCTGACAACAGATTTTCCCCAATGCAATTTGTCTTTTGATTTCCTGACTGCTGGTATTAAGAGTGTTGATTGTGGAGCAGAGCAAGCGGTAATTGCTAACAACTTCACTCTCTTCTCCATCTATCATGGTACTGCCAATAGGCCCAGTGGTGAGCATCTTTGTCTTCTGGATGTTGAGCTTCAACCCATATTGAAGATTACAGCCTTGATCTTCTGCAACAAGCACTCCATGTCTTCTTCAGTTTCAACAAGCAAAGCTGTGTCATCTGTATATCATAGGTTGTTGATGAATCTTCCTTGAATTTTGAGGCCACATTCCTCCTCATAAAGCTCTGCTTCCCAAATGATCTGTTCTGCATACTGATTGAAAAGGTATGGAGACAGGATGCATCCTTGATGCACTCCTTTCCTGATTTTGAACAGTGTTTCCTTGCTCTATTCTAAGGACTGCTTCCTAGTCCAAGTATAGGTTTTGCATAAACACAAGTAAGTGTTTTGGGATTCCCATTTTCTTCAAAGTTAACCACAATTTGTTATGATCCACACAGTCAAATGTTTTGTCAATGAAACACAGATAGACATTCTTCTGGTACTCTCTGCTTTCTGCCAAAATCCATTTGACATTGGCAATAATGTCTCTAGTGCCACAACCTCTTCTAAACCCAGCTTGTATTTCTGGTAGTTCTCTGTCAATGTACTGTTCTGGTCATTCTGGATAATCTTCAGCAGGATTTTGCTATTGTGTTATATTAGTGATATTGTTTGATATTGAGATGTAATCCATACCAAAGGCTGAGTTCTTAATCTTCTCCAGCAAGCTTTTCAAATCCTCTTATTAACTTTCAGTAAGCAAGATTGTGTCATTTGCATGAAGTAGTATACTCAGACCTGGAAGAAAGAGTCATAACAGAGCAAGAAAACATTGCATGGTTCAGGATCAGGAAAGGTGTGCCTCAGCGAAACATCCTATCTCCATACCTTTTCAATCTATATGCAGAACAGATCATTTGGGAAGCTACTTTATGAGGAGAAATGTGGTATCAGGATTGGAGGAAGATTCATCAACAACCTGCATTATGCAGATGACACAATTTTGCTTGCCGAAACTGTACAGCTTGAACTTCATCCTATATTGCCATTGGCTCTTGTTCATATAATACTTCCTGAAAATTTTCAGTGTTGACTTATTTTTTAATTATAGTGACTCTGTATATTCCTTCCATCTTCTTTAATGTTTCCGGAATCATTCAAGATTTTGCCTATGGCTTCTTTCAGTGTTGCAACTTCAAGCCTGAACTTGTTTTTCAGATCTTTCAGCTTGATAAATCCTGATCAAATTCTTCCCTTTACATTTTCTGACTCCAACTCTTCACAAATTTCATTATCATATTTTGCTTTGTCTTCTTGAGCGCTCTTTAAAGTCTTCAGTTGAGCTCTTTTACTTTGGCACCTCTTCTTTGTGTTTTGGCTTCTTGATGCTCTAATGACATTTTCATAGTCTCTCTGACATCCATTTCACTTTTTTCTTTCTCCTCTGTATTTGTAATGACCCTTTGCTCTCTTCGTGGATGATATCCTTGATGTCCTCTCAAAGATCCTCTGGCCTTTGATCATTGGTATTAAATTCTTCAAACCTGTTCTAGAGATGATTCTTAAATATAGGTGAAATAGACTCAAGATTGTATTTTGGTTTCTGTAAGCTAGCTTTCATTTTTTTCAGGTCAGTTTGAGCTTACATGTGAGTTATAGTCTATTCCAAAATAAAAACTTTTGTCTGGTTTTCACTGCAAATATTGAGCTTCTCCAACTATTTTTTTCCAATTCAGTCTGATTCCTAATGCAGTCTATCAGGAGAAGTTTATGTGTAAAATTGCCTTCTGTGGTTTTTTTTTTATAAAGTATTCACTTTCAATACTGCATAATATTTTATTCTGTGAATGTACCGTAGTTTCTCTAATCATTTCTTTGTTGTTGGGCAGTTGGACTGCTTCCATCTCTTTGCTATTGTAAATAATGCTGCAATAAATATTAGTATGTGTTTACATCTGTTTGTGTTGCAGCTCTACCCTTTGGATCTTAGAAGTAGTATAGCTTGGGTGATGAGTCTGTAAGACATTATGCTGGGTGAAATATCTCAGTCCCCAAAGGACAAATACTGTATAAACCCACTGCTGTAACAGTGGGGTCAGTACCAGGCTGGGTGCTGGTGGTGAAAACTGCAGAAAAAGAATGGATAGATAATGAATGCTGCACTGGAATGGGTGAAAAGAAGAACAGTCTGAAAGGAATGGATGATTACTAATATGTGTGTGAAAATTAATAGTATGGAACAGGACAATCATTTACAAAGGCAGTTAGTGGAGGGTGAGGGAGAGAAATGTACATGAATCAATGATAGCAAGTCTCTTTGTGAACCTTCACTAAAAGAAAAAAAGGGGTATTTGCTATGAATAAATCATTAAACACACCAAAATTCAGTCATCTGCTCTCCTCACTTCTGTCACCAAGCCCATAGTTTCTGACTACCATTCCTTCCACATTGTTTCAAACTTTTGCGTTCTAGTTACCAATAATTATGAATGCAACGGGATTGCATGTTTGGTCAAGTTTGGACTTCAAAATTTGGTAGAAATCCTCAAGTTCCTTCTCTTTGGCTTTAGTTTTTGGTGTATATATTTGAATAATAGTCATATTAACAGGTCTTTTTTGTTTAGATAGTATCCTACCACCCACAACATTGTTCTTTAGGTAGACATGGAAATTGTCTTTTAAACTATGAACGCAACACTATTCTTCTCAGTTTTTCATTCCTAGCATATGAGAGCGCCTGACTATCTGATTCAGAGTGTCCCATGCCAGTCCATCTCAGCTCACTGAAGCCTATTCTTGCTGTGTCTCTTTATACGGTGAGGTGGTGGGGGTGGTGTCCAGGAAGGGAGAGCTCTGTGGTTAGTATCTGTCTTGTCATCTACACTACTTTTTTTTTTTCTATAATTATATTTTATTAATTTTCATAAACATTTACAGAGATTTTGGGCTTCCACTCATTCATTGTTGCACTATTCTCTCTACCCTCCTCCCAGTTTGTTCTTGTCCAAATGCCACAGTGCTTGTCAAAGCCAGTTCTGATTAATCTTCTTTGTCAGTGTATCCTTTGCCCTTCCCTATCACTCCTCCCTGAGAGAGACTTCACCCTGAGTCATAAGGAAAAGGGGACGGCATATTCTCTTAGCTACTTCCTGCTGAAAAGGGACGCTGTGGGTTTCAGGGTGAAGATCTTCTCTCACTACTCTAAAGGGCCCCTTTGGCAGTAGGAAACACATAGACTATTATGGAGATTGATTTTGGAATTCAGATGCACTCTTATTGATTGTGCTTGGCTGTACATGTACATATCCTTCAAGTCATCTACACTACTAAACGTCAGTCTTCATACCTTCAGTATAAACACAGCAATCAAGGGCTGAGGAAGAGGAGGCCTAGAAACCACATCAGACCACATCTTCTTGATTTCTCATTTCTGCTGTTGCCCAAAACTCAGGATCCTGCAAGAGTTCAAGGAGTTTTAGAATACTTCCATATCCCAACCTGCTAGTCTATAAAAACACAGAGGTGCAAGCCAAGGGGTACAGACATCATCGTCTACATCAGATATATGACAGCATAGGAAGATGGCCATTGCTCACATTCCTATCAGTATGCCTTTTTGACTCTGTTTATCTTCCCTTGAAATTAATACCACATGTCTACCATCAGGTCTAGAAAGACAAATTCCACTGGGAAAATCTGCTATCAGAGGCCTCTTTAGAGTACTGAAGGGCAACAATGTCATCCTAGAAACTAAGGTGAGCCTGATCCAGGCCATAGTCTTCATAATTACTTGTTATGCATCAGAGAGCTAAAGAACGGCTAAGGATTACAGAAAAAAAATGTGTGCCTTTGAGTTGTGCTGGAGAAGAGCCTTGAACATACCATGGACTGCCAAGAAAACAAATAGGTCTGTCTTGGAGAAGGTGAAACCAAGTTTCTTCTTTGAGGCTAGAATTTTGAAGCTCCGTCTCACTTACTTTGGGCACAGGGCCAGGAGGTACTGGTCCTTAGAGAAGGACATCATGCTCAAAAGGGTAGAGGGACAGTGCAGGAGACGAAGACCCCAGATGAGATAGACTGATAGAGTAACTGGGGCACTGGGGGTCGATGTGTCGGAGTCAGTAAGACTGGCTTAGGACAGGGCAGGCTTCAGAGCTGTGAGTCCCAGATGACTCGATAGCACATAACAACAACAACATCAGTTCATTTCATAAATGGGGTGACCCAGGTCAGGAAGTCTTCCTCCCTTCATACAACATCCCTCAGTAGGAACCAGCAAGAAACCCACATGCAGAAGTGTTAAGACCTAGCCCTCCTCAACATTCCCCACTGTCTCCATTCTCTGGCCTGCCCTCCTTGTTGTTATTAAGTTACAGATTTGATAAACTTTGCCACTTTCCTTCTGCATCATTTTCACTTTGTCTCAATGCCAATGCCAGCTTTCCTTTTCTGAGCTTAGATCTAAGGGCTTTACAGGAGCAGAGGTACAGAGGAGCCCCAGAAGGCCTTTGGTCCCCTTGGGCTTTTCCAGTCACTGACCAGCACCGCCAATCATTCCCAGCTCTGCCCCGGAGCCACTTATGTTGCTTCTTTTCTCCAGCTGACTTCAGTGCTCAAGGAAATGAGTTATCTTGAGCCCCGGCAGATGAAGCACATCCCCGAGACAGCAGCAGCCATGTTCTCCTCCAGGGAATTCTATCGACAACTTGTAGCAAATCTGGAGCTGATGGCAAATTGGTACAACAAGGTTGTGAGAACCCTGCTCGAGGTGGAGTTTCCATTAGTGGAGGGTGAGCTGCATGGTATCGATTGCCGCCTGAGGGCAGCCGAGGAGACGCTGAACTGGAAAACAGAAGGTAACAGTGCCCTTTATGGAGAAAGGGAGAAATACTGAATTAAGGTGTCTACTGAAGTTGAGAATGTTAAAAGCAAAACTCTTGCTGTGAGGGCAAGTCCACCTCAGTGCTAGAGTGGAGCTGTGCTTCCCAGGTCCTTAATGGCTCATTTTTGACAGTAGATTGGCACAGCTTTCTTCCAAAGTGCCTCTGGGTGGATTTGAACCACCATGCAATATGAGATCCTCAAGTTATTCCCATGCTTACCTGATTTGGACTTGAAACACAAGTCTTTTCTCACCTCGTTGTTGTTGTTGTTGTGCACCGTCAGGTCAGAACCAACCCACAGCTGACCCTCCAAGTGGGTTTTCAGAGGCAGTACATTGCTTGAGAGGAGTTGGCCCATTTTGCTCCCACAGAGCAACTGGTGAATGTGAACCGATGGCAGTGCAATTCCTTACGCATTAAGCCACCAGAGTTCACTGAGACTCATATCCAAAGTAGAGAAGACTGAGAAGAGTTGGTAATCTTTTTGCTTCTGTTTGAGTGTGATTTACCTAGTTAGTAACTTTGTTGCTGGGTGCTTTGGCCCCTCCATAAATGAGGCCTTTCATCATACCTCAGAGATTGTAAGCTTGAAATGAAGGCTTTTATTATTAGCTCAGAGATATTGCAGGATCTGTTCCAGACAGATCTGTTCCACTAGAGTATCATGATAAAGCGAGTCTTACAGATTCTTTTTTTATTTCCCAGTGCATTTGAAAGTTATGTCTATGCTATAGCAGGCAATAACCTTATGAAAATTATGAAATGTTATGAGAATTATCACAGTGTGACATAGAAACACTACGTGAGCACATGATGTTGAGATAATGGCGCTGATAAGATTTGTGTGATGCAGGGTTGCCACAAATCCAGTTTGCAAAGACACAGTTTCTGCAAAACACAATAAAAGGACGTATGCCTGTAGTATCACTGCTACTTCATTTTCTTAACTAGATTGTAAATATCATAAAGGAGAGAATTGTGTATTTACTTCTCTCATATCTCACAATCCCATTCAATCAATCTCCATTGATTGATTAACACATGCAGGATTCTGTTTGGCACATTATAGGGAGAATATGAGGCATTTTGGGGGACATGGTCCTTTTTGGCAAACAGATGACATTTAGTGGGCAACAGACATTTGTGCAGCCTATGTCATATAACATAAGCTATTTTAAAAATCCATCACAGAGACAAAAAATGATGAATCATAAGGGAGGGGGAAGAATTTTAATTGGGGCCCTCCGAAGAGTTCAGGTTTGGGAAGAAGGTCACAGTCTACTTATAGAAGTCTTTGAATGACATGGTAAACAAGTTAGAACTTGAGAGAAAAGTTATATATAGACAAATAAATGGCATTTTTTAATGCATAAAACAGTGAAAGTGCTATAAACAAAAGCTAAATTATACAAGATAGTCACCAACTCAACACTGGTGTTTCTGTGTAGAGTTGTATGGCCCAGCTCCTTTTTTTAAGTTCCATGTGTTCAGTAGACAAATATTCCCTCTTCATTTCTTTTATACATATTCAAGGACAGTGAAGGTTGACCGCCTGGCACAATGAAGGTGGAGGGTTCAGTAATGATGTGTAGAAAGTGAAACCCAAAAGGGTGGAATCCCTATCACTAACAGTACCTAGGTTGTTGGTAACTCATTCACTGCCCTCAAGTCCCTAACAGCTCATAGTGACCATCGTGTTTCTGAGGCTCTAATTCCCAATGAGAGGAGGCTGTTCATCTTCCTCCCATGCTGCGACTGATGGATTTGAACCATTTGAGGTACATAGCCTTTTGGTTTGCAGCATGATGCCCTACATCTGAGTCTACAAACACCTCGCTATATGTCTGTGAGCTATGATATTTAAATTGATTCTCTTTCTTTTCTGCATCAGGCATTTGGGACTATGTCGTTCAAGTGACCAATAGTATTCATGATCTTGAACAGAGAATTCAGAAAACAAAAGACAATGTGGAAAAGATTCAAAACATCATGAAAACGTGGGTGTCTCCAATATTTAAGAGAAAAGATGGCAAAAAAGAATGCCTTCTGTCCCTGGATGATCAGCATGAGCATATGGAAAGATATTATAATCTCATCAAAGAATCAGGCCATAAGATTCATGCCCTTGTCCAGGTAATAGCCTCCTCTTCTCTGACACACATGCCACGAACATAGGGACAGTGTCAAGAAGTTTATTTGGGCACAAGCTGTGATTTGGAAAGAATTGTACATGCTGTGTCTTCTGAAGTCAGGGACAGACATTTATGCTAAAGAACTAAACAGTCTAGATTGGTTTTGTTGTCACTAGCTCCCACCAAATCAATTTCTACTCATAAAGACCAATAAGAGAGAGCAGAACAGCTCCACAGTGGGGTTTTGGTGGAAATTTATAACAGATCTCTGAGTCTTTCTTTCCTGGAGCTGCTGAGTGGGTTCAAACTTTCACTGTTTTAGTTAGCCACCTAGTTCTTGACATGTATGCACCACCAGGGCTCCTAAAAATACGAGAAGAAGTAGAAAATCACATTCTGGCATTAAGGTATCAAAAGGAATATTCTAATTCTTTTAAATTTTATACTGATTTACTTACAAAGTTCATATACAATATTTTTTTTCACCGGATCTTTCCCCTTTCTTATACCACGCCTCCGTCTGCTCAGCAAATTGTGCAACCCTATGACTAAGCCCCCCATTGGATTCTCATACTTATTCTACAATAATGGTATTTTGCAATATTTGTCTTTATGAGACTGAGATAGTTCACTTAGCATAATCCTCTTCAGTCCCTCCGATGTTAGGAGTAATTAACAAAATCATTGCTGCTGAATGCTGCATAGTATTCCATTGTGTGAATGTACCATAATTTCTCTGTCCATTCCACTGTAGTTGGACATTTGGGCTGTTTCTATGTTCTCAAAATCACTGGCAATATAAGAGTCATAATGAGATAACATCTTACCCCAGTAAAGTTTAGCAGGGCAGCAAGTAATAAGTGTTGGAGAGGATGTGGCATGATAGAAACTCTTACACATTATTGGTGGGACTGTAAAATAGTACAATCACTCTGCAAGGCAGTTTGGCATTTCCTCAAAAAGCTGAACATAGAAACTCCATATGACCCATATTTCACTGCTTGGCATATACCAAAATGAGAGAAAATGAGAACTGAGGCATGAACAGAAACTTGTACACCAATGTTCACAGCAGTGTTATTCACCACACCAAGTAATACTCTCTTAATGGTGATGTCTCATAATTGTCACATGACTTCAATCCTGTACCAAAGCCATATGGGTGGGAAGGAATGGCAAAGACAGAATTCTTTGTGATCCACTTATTAACCTACTCCTGTCCCCAACTCTTCCATTCATTCTATAGTGGTTCTCCATCATCATCCTTTTAACCCAGCTCTGCAGAGCCTGAAGAGGTGAAAGGTTGCCGTATTATGTCTAGTCGCAATGGGAAAGCAAAGCAAATGCACAGTACAATGCTTAATGCAATAAGGCCCTTCCTTATACTGTAGGCAGGTCAGCCATCACCAAAGGCTGAAGTTTTGTTGTGAGATAAAAACTATTCATGGCTACCAGCCCTGACTCTCTTGAAGTGTCCTTTGGACAGCATCTAAGAGGTTACTGTCATGCACAAAGTAATGAATAACAATTGTTTATCTAGTTTATCTAGTTTGTTTATATAGTTTAAAGTACATTTAAGAGTATTGAGCCTTAAGCACCATAAGTTGTTGTTGTGTACACTAGAGTCAGAATTGACCATTGAGTTTTCAGAGGCAGTTAATCACACAGGAGGAGATTGCCCACTCTTCTCCTGTGGAGCAGCTGGGTTCAAGCCACATGACTTCCAATTGCAGCAGAGCTTCTTACCATGAGGCCATTAGAGCTCCCTAAGTAAATAAATGAAGGATGATGATTACTGAAATTACAGTTTTGAAAAGTAAAGAGGTAACAAAGCCTGACAATCTCTTCTCATAAAGATTTACTGCCTTGGACACCAAGAGAGAGAGTTTTGAGCCATTAACCTGTGTTATGCAGATGACACAACCCTGCTTGCTGAAACCGAGATGGACCTGAGGTGTTTGCTGCAGAGGGTCAAGAACTGCAGCCTTCAATATGGATTGAAGCTCAACATCAAGAAGACAAAGATTCTCACCACTGGGCCCATTGGCAGCATCATGATACACAGTAAAGAGACTGAGATTGTTATGAATTTCAGCTTTCTTGGCTCCACAATCAAAACTCTTGCTACCAGCAACCAGGGAGTCAAAAGACGAATTGCACTGGGAAAATCTGCTGTCATGGACCTCTCCAGAGTACTGAAGAGAAAAGATGTCAGTCTGGAGACTAAGGTGCACCTCATCCTGACCATGGTCTTCACAGTTACTTCCTATTCATCAGAGAGCTGGACAATAATTAAGGATGGTAGAAGATGAATCAATGCCTTTGAGTTGTGATGCTGGAGAAGAGTATCAAATACATCATGGACTGCCAAGAAAACAAACAGGTCCATCCTGTAGAGAGTGTAACCAGGCTGCTCCTTGAAAAGCAAAGATTTTGAAGCTCCTTCTGACATAGTTTGGGCATGTTGCCAGAGAGGACCAGTCCTTAGAGAGGGTCATGATGCTTGGAAGGGTGAGGAGAGCGCAAGAGAGGAAGACCCTTGATGAGATGGATTGACTCAGAGACTGGGGTTATGTGGGGGTAGGAGTGTCACAGACAATGAAATTGGCTCAAGGTAGAGCAAGGGTCAGAGCTGTTGTATATAGGGTCATAGGCAACTTGACAGCACACCACAACAACAACATGAGTCAGAACCTACTCTACAGCTCTGAGTTTGAGTCCCAACTCCAGTAGTTTAGTGAGCCTTGCCTAGAGCATAAACATCTATCCACCTGTCCACCACCCATCAGCTTTATTGAAAAAACTTCTCAAGGCAATATAGTGACTAGTCTGTAAGCTTATGAAACATACTAATTTTAATAGTTTTCTAAATTTCTTATGATGATCTGTGTAAATAATGATATCATTTCCAAATAGAGACAATTTTACTTTTCATTTAAAATGGTTATATTTTATATTTCGTTTTCTTGCCTTATTGCTCTGCCTAGGATCTCTAGTACAGTGTTGACTAGAAGGTCTAAGAGTATGCATTCATGCCTCAATTCCAAACATAGAAAAAAGCCCTAAGTAATTCACTATGAAGTGTAGTGTTTACTGTTATTTTTTTACCCCCAGAAGTCCTTTATCAGGTTGAGAATATTTCCTTCTATTTCTAGCTGGCTGAGAGTTTTTGTTATGAGTGGCTGTTCAATTTTATCAAATTATGTTTCTGTAGGCCTCGTGTTTGTTATTCTGTCTTGGCTACTATCAGAAAGCTAAGTTATTCTTACTGCACTGATAATTCAAACAAATATGTTTCTTAGTTGATGGTAGATATGAAACCATAAATAAAGGTAGAAGGTATAGGTGACTATCTCAGTACTTGAAAGTAGAAAGAGAGAAAAATTCTTCAGAGCAGTTACACAAACTGAAAATTATTTAATATGGAGGCAAACGGATACACAAATATCAGTGACTCCTGAATGCAGCTCTAAATTGTCACATTGCTATGATTTCTTTAATGATGAGATTTTAATCATTAAGGGGGGGGAAATCTTAATGTACTTAGAAAGGAAATGAATACATAATGTAGTTCAGAAATTTTTAAAGTCTTGTAATTTAAAAAAACAGGCTTATAGTACTGTTCCAATCCAGAGGACACTATTTGCCATATAGTAATGTTGCTTAAATGTAGCTCTGGTGGCCTAGTGTCAAGAAGCTGTGTCGCAATCCCAAAGGCCATCTTTTGCCATGAGATTTATAGTCTTGGGAAACTCAGTGGAGGGTCTGGTATGAGTTGGTTTCAACTCAACAGCAACGAGTTTTGAGGTTTTTTTTTTAAATAGCAGTCAATGTGATAGAGGCTTTTAGTTAATATTAAATTCCAAAACCAAAACATACCAACCCACCTCTGAGAATTAGCTAGCAAATGCTTTACTTATTCAAGCCCCAACTTTTATTAGAAACCTGGAATCTGTCACCTTTTGTATCTTTTGTCTGGATTCTGTCACCCTTTGTATGGTTTCCACTGCCCACTCTGATATCTGTGATGAGATCTCCTCCACATCCTTCCACATCACTGCCCATCAGCATCCCTCCTGAGGAAAAGTTGTTGTTTGCTGTCAGGTGGGAGCCAACCCATAGCTGATCCTCCAGCAGGTTTGCAGAAGCAGTTAATCGCATGGGAGAAGATTGTCCATCCTTCTCCCATAGAGCTTCTGGTGGATTTGAACCATGTGCCTTTGCAATGCAGCTTCTTAATGCTACCTAAAGAAAGAGTTGAGATCCAATAGTCTTCATGTAGACTTTAAATCAATAGTTACAGCCATTTTTTAGACAGAATGGATTTGATGTACATACATGTAGGGGGACATTCTTGACAAGAATTTTTTCCCCCTCTTTGCATCGTTTTCAGTTTCATCCATGATGACTAGACTGGCACTTTACCAAACAAAGTTTACATTGTTCTTTCTTTCTTTGTAGGAAAACCTGACTCTATTTTCAGCAGACCCAACCTCCCAGATCTGGAAGACTTATGTCAACTACATTGATGATATGTTGCTGGATGGATTCTTTCTTGCCATTGAGTGTTCCCTCAAGTACCTCATGGAAAATACTGGTACTTGTTACATTATGGATGTGGGTTGTTATTGGAAAGAGAAAAGTAGTCACATCTATTCAGTGAAATTGACGTGCAATTAAATACTCCATGATTTTCACTAAAACTTAGCATTTTAAAAAAGATTTTTTGTGAATGATGCACAACAAAATAGCAGACAGAAGGAGTTTTTAAGTTGCTAAAAGAGAAAAGACCGAAAAAGGGGGCAAATCAGCCTCTAAAATAATGACTCCCTTTAAAAACAACAACAACACAACAAACCCAAACAAAATCACTGACAGAAAGTTGATACCAACTCATGGTAACCTCCCACTGGGTTCACAAAGCTGTAAATCTTAGCAACAGATTGCTTTATCTTTCTCCCATGGACAAACTGATGGTTTCAAATAGCCGACCTTCTAGTTAGCAGCTCACCATGAAGCCCATGGCAAATGAAATTGCAGAAAAAGAAAAAGGCTAATTTGATCTAAATCCAGCTTCCCTGAAGAGGCGTGACTAAGGTGGAGCCGCGGGAGGCACAGTTGGTGATGAGGCTTCATCTGGACTTGACTCAGGGGGGTGCAGAGGGACAGTCTGTGCTTTCCAATTTCATGTGCGTTCTCTCATGAGAACACGGGGAGGGCTTGAATCACCAGGCTAACTGGAAGAAAAACAGGGAGCTTTGTGTGAAAAAGGGGACAAGAAGCATAAACAGGGGTGGAGGCTGCTTTTAGAAAGAAGAAGAATATTAAGAGGTGAGTGGGCATCCTTTGAAGCTTTTAAACAACAATTGAGAGCTTTGAATTAATGGTAGATAAACTGGAGAGGAGATTGAGATTGTTAACAATTTCAGCAGTGATGTCAATCTAGAGATTAAGGTGTGCCTGATTGAGACCATGGTCTTCACAATTGTTGGCTATGCATCAGAGAACTGGATCATGACTAAGAATGATAGAAGATTAATCAATGCCTTTGAGTTGTGGTGCTAGAGAACAGTATTAAACATGGACCACCAAGAAAACAAACAGGTCTGTCCTGAAAAGGGTGAAACCAGGCTGCTCCTTGGAGGCAAGGATTTTGAACCTGCATCTCACCAAGGGGGGACCGGTCTTTGGAGAAGGACATAATGCTTGCAAGGGTTTAGGGACAGCACAGGAGAGGAAAATCCTGGATGAGATGGATTGACACAGTAACTGGGGCAAAGGGCGGTAGGTGTGTCAGAGACAGTGAGACCAGCTCAGAATAGTGTAGAGTGCTGCGCTATTACACATAGGGTTGCTATGAGTCATTGGTGACTTGGCACATAACAACAGCAACAAAAACTGGATGCAAAATATTACGATGTTGTTGTTGTTAGCTGCTGTTGACATTGGTACAATAGGATTGGACTATTGTGATCTATAGGATTTCCATGGATTGATTTTTTTAAAGTAGATATCCAGACATTTCTTCTTAGTTAGTCTGGAAACTCCACTGGAACCCGTTCAACATCAGAGCAACACAGCAGCACCACTGAGACATGCTAGATGACCATGACTTAGGTCTTGCCCTTGAGAGGCAAGCATCCTGCTGCTGAACCACCACTGCTCTCTCTCCCCACAAATCTAAGGGCTGAGCTTGGCTGACAAAAGGTCAAGAGAGTTCAGGACTGAAATAGGAATGAAGTGTTCATGTTCCTATAAATTATGAAGACCTTAGCAAGAGCCATATTGAAAGATTAGTTAAAATGGAAAGGTGGAGATAAGTATTTTGAAGCCAGAAAATGAAGGTGAGAATTTAAGACCTCAAGTTCAACTCAAGGAAGTAAGCCAGACACAGAGTCGAAACAGTCATGTAGAGAGGAGTGTCCTCCAGGTACCAATGCAAGACGGCACTGAGAAGCCGAGGCTGGGAGCGCAGAGGAACAAGGTGCAAGGGCTGGTGTGACTAGATAGGTGGAGGGGCAGAGGAGGGCAAGGAGGTCTTTTCTTGCAGGATGCAGGATACTTGAAAGCAGGAACTAGGCCTTTAAACATAGTAAAAGAGTGGGAGATAGAAAGTGAGCACTGAGCCCTGGTGGGTTCCTAGGGTGCATCCACAGTGCTTAGCATAGAAGATGTACCAAACATCTTCTTCATGTTGGAGATCATGGAGTCTTGTCACTCAGTGTTCTAGTTTAGGAGAAAACAAGTGAAGATCAGTGTTACTGTTACTACTTAAACCCTGAAGGAAAGTTAGTGTTTAACTATTAACTGCTGATGCAGGCAGGAAACAAAACTCCCTTAGCACACTTACAGAACAACTAAAACCGACGCAAAGCGAAAAACATCTCCCCCCATCCCCACCCTCACCACCTAATCTATTAATTGTTATTAATCATTCATTTCATTTCAGCACTGATTACTTGAGTAGTTTCTGAGAAAAGATGCAAGTCCCTGTGACATTTTGGAGAGACCTTTCCTTGGAGAGGGACATCATGTTTGGGAGGGTGAAGGGCAGGAACAGGAGGGGAAGACCCTCTATGAGGTGGATTGATTCAGTGACTAGGGTAATCGGGATGGGTGTATCGGAGACAGTGCGATTGGCACAGGACAGAGCAGAGTTTAGGGCTGTTGTACATGGGATCGCTATGAGTCGCAAGCGACTCAAAGTCACATAACAACAACAACAATGACAACTTTATCTTCCTGTATCCTCTTTACTGTCTCTGCCTGTAGTATTCAATCAAGTTACTGTTCCTCTTGTCACCTTGTGGAATCCGAGCCTGCTTTGATTATATGCTACACACTCAACTCTGAATGGTCTTACCCCGTTAACGCCTAAAATGAGTTACTTATGCCAGTTTTAGAGCTAAAAGAATCTACTTTGTATGTTCATTATCATGGTGTTGCTTAAGATTTACATTCTTATGTTAGCACATGATCAGACTTTTCCAAGAAGTTAAAAACCCTTATTGAAAATCTTCTAGGTTCTTTATATATAACCCCAGTCCAGAATGATGGCTGCATAGTGGGGTGGACTTAGGGAGAGTGATTGTATAACAATGAAAGAATTTTTCTTTTACTTTTCAAAGAGAAGAGAGAATTGGGAGGAAGGAAGGGTTGGCAGGGAGAAAAGTGCAACAATGAATGAATGGAAATCCTCAGTCTCTGTAAATGTTCATTAAAATTAATAATAATTTAAAAAATTTAAAAAATATATATATATACAGAGAGAGAGATGCAAAACACATCATGGGTACATATGCAATAACACCAGAAGTTGTTGTGGTGTGCCATTGAGTCAGAACCAACTCATAGCTGACTCTTTGGCGGATTTTTAGATGCAGTAAATCACACAGAAGGAGATTGTCTCCCGTATGATTTATGTCCTTCTATGGAGCATCTGGTGGATTCAAACTGAGCATCTCTGGGTTTACAGCACAGTTTCTTGCCACTCAGCCACCAGACTTCCCTAAAATGTCATAGTTGTATTATATTCTTTACGATTCTGTGATAATAGAGTAATTACTGTGTTACTGGTAAGTTTGCAGGCCTTTAAGCTAAGTAGGCATTGGTGGTTTGAGTAGATAGTCTCACTTTACATGCAGAAGACCTGGGTCCTGTCCGTGATCAGTGAACCTCTAGCTCTCAGCAGAGGCTTGAGTGTTGATAAACAGTATGCTGGATATGCTTCAATGGAACTTCCCAGATAAGATGGACTAAGGAGAAAGGTCTGACAATCTGTTATTTCTGAAAATCAGTCAGTGAAAATCCTGTGTATCTGTCAATTAAAAGGATAGCCCAGGACCTGGCAGTGGGTCGCCAGTAGTCAGGAGAGCTAACAACACCAGGTCACCAGGAGTCTGTGGCAGCTAACAACAACAACAAATTAAATAGACTTTCCATGAAACTCTGTTGATGAATTCAGTAAGGCAAAATTATCATTCTGTAGTGTTTGGAGGTTTTTTCCATAAAAACACTAAACTCTGGGAATAAGAAAACTTCATCAGTAATGTGACTTATAGGACAAAGTGGCCTGTCTCCATGGCAGGTTCATTCCAGTCTGTGGCACCACATTTCTTTAGGCTTTGTCCTCATTTCTGTGGGCAAGTTGGGTCCCTGCCACATACATGCTGTTGTCTGGGAGAGAGGGAAGAGAAAGTGGGGAGAGTCTCCCCTACTGTCTCAAGGGTTCCTCCTAAGAAGCCTCATCTTTCTGCCCACACCCCCTGGTGAGGGAGTGGGATGCCTGCACCTCACTGCAGCAAATCCAGAAACCAGTTGTTGTGGACTCAACTCGAGCAGATGGGCAGATGGTGACCCCTACGTGTGTCAGACTAGAACTATGCTCATCAGGGATTTCAAAACTTAGTTTTCTTTTTTCTTTCTTTCTTTTTTTTTTTTAAGTATATCACCAGACCTTCTTGCACAAGTGACTCTAGCTGGACTTGAATTTCCAACCTTTGGTTAGCAGCCAGGTGTCTTAACTGTCAGCACTACCCACAGACACACTTAACTGCTGGTTAGGCTAGGACCTTCAGTCACAGACCCACTAAGAGGAAAAGAAAGCCGTGAATTTCAGTGAACGGCTGCTGCCACCCTGACTACCTGGGATGTTGTTGTTGTTTGTTGTTATGTGCCGTCGAGTCGCTTGTGACTCATAGCGACCCTATGTACAACAGCCCTAAACCCTGCTCTATCCTGTGCCAATTGCACTGTCTCTGACACACCCATCCCGATTACCCCAGTCACTGAATCAATCCACCTCATAGAGGGTCTTCCCCTCCTGCGCTGTCCCTCCACCCTACCAAGCATGATGTCCCTCCCCAGGGACCTGTCTCTCCTTACAACATGTCCAAAGTATGTCAAACAAAGCCTCAGAATCCTTGCCTCCAAGGAGCAGCCTGGTTTAACCCTCTCTAGGATGAATCTGTTTGTTTTCTTGGCAGTCCAGGGTACATTCAATACTTTTCTCCAGCACCACAGCTCAAAGGCATCAATTTTCCTTCTAGCCTCCTTAGTCATTGTCCAACTCTCTGATGCATAACAAGTGATTGCAAAGACCATGGCCTGTATCAGATGCACCTTAGTCTCCAGAGTGACACTATTGCTCTTCAGTGCCCTGGAGAAGTCCCTAACAGCAGACTTTCCCATTGCAATACATTTTTTTTTATTTCCCAGCTACTGGTTCCAAGAGTGTTGACCATGGAGCCAAGCAGACTAAAGTTGTTAATCTCAATCTCTTCATCATCCATCCTGATCTGCCAATTGGTCCAGTGGTGATAATATTTGTCTTCTTGACATTGAGCTTCAATCCATACTGAAGGCTGCCATCCTTGACCCTCTGCAGCAAGCATTTCAGGTCCTCCTCTGTTTCAGCAAGCAGGGTTGTGTCATCTGCATAACGCAGATTGTTAATAGATCTTCCACCAATCCTGACACCACATTTCTCCTCATAGAGCCCAGCCTCTTGGATAATCTGTTCTGCATACAGGTTGAAAAGGTATGAAGATAGGACACATCCCTGGCATATGACTTTCCCAATTTTGAACCATGTAGTATTTCCTTGCTCTGTTCTGACAACTGCCTCTTGGTCCAAGTATAGGTTTCGCATTAGCATGATTAAATGTTCTGTGATTCCCATTCTTCTCAGAGTCAGCCACAGTTTGTTATGATCCACACAGTCAAATGCCTTTGCATAGTCAATGAAACACAGATAGACATTCTTCTGGTATTCTCTGCTTTCAGCTAAAATCCATCTAACATCAGCTATAATATTCCTAGTACCACGACCCCTTCTAAACCCAGCCTGGACTTCTGGCAGTTCTCTGCTGATGTGCTGTTCCAGTCGTTTTTGGATAATCTTCAGTAGAATCTTGCTTGCGTGTGAAATCAATGATATCATTCTCTAGTCTCCACTACCCGGAATAGTGGAGCAAAATCAAACAAAATGGGAAGTGAAAGTAAGTGGCTATTGGTAAAAGCGTAAGCATTTGTCTTGTACTTGGAACATCTTGCTGCATGTGTTTTGAGTTAAATTTGACAAAGCAACTAGGTCTAGCAAGTGATCAGAGATGTGTGACTTATTTATATTGCTCTTGAAATTTTCAACACTAACTGTACTTCAGCATTAAAATAAATTATCATTTTATAAGAAAAAGAGCCTAAGTGGCAAGACTGTAACTTCAGTTTGGTTTTCTTATGCCTCAGTGACCATTGAAGGGCTCTTTTGGTAGAGTGGTGAAGCGCTTCACTCCTGATCAGAAAGTTAGTGGTTCCAATCCACTAGCTGGTCTTTGAAAGGAAGATATAACAGTCTGTTTCTGTAAAAATGACAGCCTTGGAAACCCAGTGAGGCAGTTCTGCTCTGTGTTGTTAGATCGTTATGAGTCAGAAAATACTCAGAGCCAATGGATTTGACTTTGCTTTTGGCGGGTTGTTTTTTTGTTGTTGTTGTTACAAGCACGTACTCTTGTGCCCTAGAAGCTCCAATCCCAAAGGTACATGGTTTGAATCCACCAGCTGCTCTGTGAGAGAAGGCTGGGCAGTCTCCTCCCAGGTAATTTACTTCCTGCCTTTGAAAACCTCTGGGGGGGTCAGGCATGGGTCGGTCTCGACTCCACAGCAAACAACAGCAAAAACAACTGACAAGCAAAGTAGCTCTGGGGGCACAGTGTTACACTGCTAACTGACCAGTGGGTTCAAATCCACTGTAGGAGATGTAGGAGAAAGATGGGAAGTCTTCTCTTGTAAAGATGAGATTTGCAGCCTCAGAAACCTGATGAAAGTTGTTGTGAGTGAGAATCCATTTGGTTGTGGTGGGTTGGTAGGTTTCGATGTGGACAAATATGCCCCGTTCTCCTAGGGGCTACCAGTAGAATCTCTTGGTTTATGACTAGAAAGAAACCAGCTTGGTTTTTTGTGGTTATTGTTTGTTTGTTTTGGGTTTTGTTTTGTTTTGTTTTTTAAAAAGGCTTTCAACATCAACATCACCTCATCCAGAAGCTGTTCTGCTCTCAGGTGGTATTTGGGGGTGTGGATGTGCTCACTAGGGAGCTCAGTCTATAGGACATGCTTCCAAGAATGTTTTTGTTATGTGCCATCAAGTTGCCTGTAACTCATAGCAACCCTTCGCGCATGAACTCTGAACTCTGAACTCTGCCCTATTCTGAGCCAATCTTGTCTCCAACAGACCTAATACCATTTCTCCAGTCACTGAGTCGATTGCTATCATCCTGGGTCTTCCTCTCCTACATTGTCCCTCCACCCTTCCTTGATGTCCTTCTCCAAGGACTGGTCTCTCCTTGCAGCATGCCTAAAGTATGTCAGAATCCTTGCTTCCAAGGTTTCACCCTCTCCGCAACTGACCTGTTTGTTCTCCTGGCAGTCCTTGGTATATTAATACTCTTCGCCAGCACCATAACTCAAAGGCATTGATTCTTCTTCTATCGTCCTTAGTTATTGTCCGGCTCTCAGATGCATAGCAAGTAGTCCATGGCCTGTATCAGGAGCACCTTAGCTTCTGAGTACAGAGAGGATAAATGTGCAGTGCTCGGGACAGCCTGCACAACAGTTAGCCTACCCAAAATGTCAACGACTCTCCTCTTGAGAAACAGTGCAGGGCTGTCAGTCACCCTCCCCTTTTCTAGGATGGTAAGATATTCTGCATCTCCATCTTCCTGTGCCCAAAGGAGCCTTCCTTGATGGCATAGTGTGTGGCATGTTGTGCTGCTAACCATAAGGTCAGAAGTTGGGATCCAGCAGCCACCTGTAAAGATTTCTCAATGCAGAAACTTGAGGGAGAGTCACTGTGAGTTGGGATCAACTCAGTAGTAGTAGTAGTGGTAGTAGTAGAGTTTTGATTGGCTTAACTAGCTCATCAAAAGAGAAATGTGAAATGATCTGGGTGGTTTTAAAGCAATGTAACACTGTACTTATTCGTCTCTGTCTTGTTTATTTATTTGTTTTACAGAAAATAAGCCTGGAGTCACCCCAATATTTGAAACACAGCTGAGCTTAGCTATCCCAGAATTGGTTTTCTACCCATCTCTGGATCCTACAGTGAAGGGCGGCTTTTATGACATCTTTGAAGGTCTTCTCACAAGCATTTTCGGGATATCATCTCTGGTACCACGGCTCTCCCCACAGAACCACCCACCTCACTATCAGGTAATCGTCTTCCCTTTCTAGCAAACCTGGGACTCCCTACCAAGTGCAAGTGTAACACTGACTGCTGGCCTCCTGCCCTGTCAGGTTGACATGGAGGCCAAGGCTGAGCTGGCGAGCCTGCGGGACTTGCTCATGGAGCGAGTCTGGGCTATGACGGCCCTCTGCTCCAGCTACCGTGGCACCTTCAGCCAGTACTCCTACCTGTATGGGGAGGACCGCAAGGAGGTGCTGGGGCAGTTCCTGTCGTATGGACACGTCCTCACTGCGGACGAGATTGAGGCCCATGCAGAAGACGGCATCCCCGAGAACCCACCCCTCCTCCATCACTTCAAGGTCCAGATCGACCTGTATGAAAGCCTCTGTGAAGAGGTGTGCAAGCTGGAACCCACGAGGGTGTTCGACAGCTGGATGAAGATTGATGTGCGGCCCTTTAAAGCTTCACTGCTGAACGTGATCAAGAGGTGGAGCCTCATGTTTAAGCAGCACCTGGTAGATTACGTCACTAACAGGTAGTGCTCTAACAGCATCCCCACTGCAGGGAGGTTTCCTTCACCTTCAGTCTTTGTCCTATCTCCTCCATGGGTTAGATGGTCCAACTGAAAATTCAGAGAGCTAGCTAAGAGTTTCAAGGGTGTTTTTGTTGTTGGGTTTGGTTTTTTGCTTTTGTTTTTTGGTTGTTTTTGTATGATTACCAGCAGCTTTCATGCTACTCTTTCCCCTATTTGTGAGAAAATCATTTGGTGTTTTCTTTTCCACTTATCACTTGGTGTTCTAAAGGCACTCAGTACCAGGTGGATAATGTTAACTACTGGTGGCCCTAGTGAAAAGAAGCTGCGCTGTAATCCCGAAGGTATGCAGTTCAAATCCACTAGCTGCTCCGTGGAAGAGGGATGGGAAATCTCCTCCCATGTAATTCATTTCCTCAGAATAACAACTGGAGGGTCAGCTGTAGGTCCTAACCAACTCTTTGCTACACCACCACCACCACCACCACCACCACAGTGGTAATAACAGAGCCATCTTCCCTTCACAACTTGGCTGCAAAATCTTTTTAAGCCTTGGAGGCAGAGAGATGTAATGAGCTTCTTAGGCTTCATTTTTACCATTTACTCCTGGTCTCAGAGACTCCAGCTGCGCAGGGCAGAGGCCACTAACTCCTCACCCTCCTGAGCACCCATTGGTGCCATGTTGTTGTTGTGTACTATCGAGTTGGAACCAACCCATAGCTGACCCTGCAGAGGGTTTTCAGAGGCAGTTAGTCACATGGGAGACGATTGCCCATCCTCCTCCCGCAGAGTACCTGGTGGCCTCGAACCGTGTGCCTTTGGGATTGCAGCACAGCTTCTTGCTACTAGGCCACCAGCTAACTGTATAACCATCTGAATCTGAAATTCTATCATTTTCTGAGATGAACTTGGACTATTCAGCCCAGTACGAGCCCTGATGGCACAAGATTGTGCTGTTAGCCGAAAGGTGGGGTGGTTTGAATGTACCAACTGCTCTGAGACAGAAAGATGGACAGTCCTCATGCATCAAGATTTACAGCCTCCGAAATTCAGTGGAAGTCTGCCATGAGTCTAAACCAACTCAGCAGGCAGTGGGTATTACTTTTAGTTCAGGAGATAATTGGAAATAAGCAAGGTGCTGAGCAGTCCTCCAGGCCCTTCCCATTGGTGTCTGAGTCTGGGACACCGACCCAGAATCCTTACGTTCCTAGGTGCTTCCTCACACCCCACCCCAAGGCCCTGTCCTGACTTTGGGGCTGACCTTTGTGAGTGCTGTGGCCACATTGCTCAGTTCTCTGGATCGGTGAACAGCACAGAATAGCTAAATTGAGGATTTCTCTCTCTACATGTTAACCCCAAGAGACTTTGTAAAGGTGAAGCTCTGCCTCTCTAGGCGAGCACTGTGGAGCTGTTTTAAGTAGGGCTTGTCTAGTGTGAAGAAGCCGTCACACTTTGTTGTTTGTGAAGGATTTTTCTCACCAAGGAGCTAAGGGCAAGAATTTAGAGCTGGCGGGAGGTGGGTGGCAGTGATGTCCAAGAATGGAGCACATCTGGGCAGGCAGTTGCTCTGTGGCTAGCTTCTCTGGTAGCACAGAGTGCAGTGACAGCCACTGTCATGACTGTAACTAGGTAAAACTTCCATGGAGCCAACATTGTAATGAGGTGAGTATGCACTAGCTCACTAGTCTGCTTGGGTTCTTCCCCTTCAGTCCTTACTTCCTTATCTCTGAAAGATGCTGTTACTAAAATAATCCTGTGATACCTTCCAGCTTTGAGTCAGTGATTTCAGAAATCTGGTTCTTCTGTTTTGGAAGTAGAGAGTTTTACTGAGGATAAAAGGAAGAGTAAGACGGAATATCATTGCTGCTGTTAGTTGCCATCTAGTCAGCTGCAGCTTATGATGAACTTGTCTCACATGCTTTGGGTATTTTGTCAAGAAGTGCCAGCCCTTAGAAAAATACACCAGGCTTGGAAAAGCAGAGAGTCAGCAAAAGACAGGAAGACCCTCACCAGTAGGGACTGACAGAGTGACTGCAATAATCGGCTTGAGCATGGTGGAGATTGTAAGGATGGTGCAGGATAGGGTGAGTGTTTGATTCTTTTATCACAGAGTCACTATATTGTTGCTGTTATGTACTTTCAAGTTGTCCACAACTTATAGCAACTCTACCGGGTGGCTCCTTGGAGGCAAGGATTCTGAGGCTCCGTCTAACATATTTTGGACATGTTGCTAGGAGGGACGGGTCCTTGGAGAGGGACATCATGCTTGGGAGGGTGGAGGGACAGCACAGGAGAGGAAGGCCCTCTATGAGGTGGATTGATTCAGTGACTGGGATAATTGGGATGGGAGTGTCAGAGACAGTGCGATTGGCACAGGACAGAGCGGAGTTTAGGGCTGTTGTTGTACATAGGGTCGCTATGAGTCGCAGGCAACTCGACGGCACGTAACAACATAACAACAACATCAATATTGAATCTTCATCCCAGCCTGGCCTGTGTTGTCCTCATCACCTTTGATTTACTCAAGCCCATTGTTACAGTCACTGTGTGGGTCCATCTGGTTGAGGGTCTGCCTCTCTTTCTCTGACCTTTCACCTTTCCCAGCATGATGTCCTCATCAATTGAGTGGTAACCATTTGAGAGGCAGTTAGCTATAAGTAGCGGTCAACTCGATGGCTCCTGATGAGAACAGCAACCTCTTCTTGCTGTTGACTGACAGAGAGGGGGAGGAGGAAGATCAGATTTGTCTGGTGCTCTTCCCATGCCCACTGTGAAAAGGTTGAATGGCTCATAGTTGCTAGTGATCATTCATTGTGTTGTTCTGTGGACTGTTGTTGATGTACAATGTTCTTCCTAAATCAGAAGAAGACGAGATTGGGTAAGGTCTGAATCTGTCCCTCTTTCAGTCTTACCTAAAATTTTCTCCTGTTAGTCTAGCCCTTTAATCTGGAAGCAGGAGTGGCATCTACTTCCATAATAGCTTGCCTCTGGAAACCCTGTGAACCTGGAGAAAGGATGAAAATTATACAGGAGGTGTCCAGGACTTTTGCTCATAGGGTTGCTCTGAGTCGCCTGTGACTCGATGGCACTTAACACCACCACCACCAGCAGCAGCAGCAGCACAGAAAGAGAGAGCAGTTGGCCTAGCAGACAGCAAGCCATGCTCCCAAGCCAAAGGTCATGTAACCCTGGCATGTCCACTTGCTGTACTGAGGTAACTTGTGGTTGCTGTGAAGCCAAACACTGTGACACTGATGAGTCAAATGCGAGAATGGTTACCCATGGTGGACATTGTTTGGTGAAGCTCCCCGAGTAAAACAAGCTTGGAAGCAGGAGTGGCATCCACTTCCATAATTGCTTGCCTCTGGAAACTCTATGAACCTAGAAAAAGGATGAAAGTTATACAGGAGGTGTCCAAGATTTTCGTTCATAGGATCACTATGAGTCGCCTGTGGCTCGACGGCACTTAACAACAGTCTAGCCCTAAAATTTGAAGATCTTCATGTTCCCATTGGGACTGTTACCCAGACACACCAGATAAGGTCTGAGGCAAGGGTGTCCCACTGTCAGTAGCATGCTGTCTTATCTACCTATCGATCATCTATCTATCTATCTATTATCCATCTATCATCTATCTATCTATCTATCTATCTATCTATCTATCTATCTATCTATCTATCTATTGGCTCATCCGCTTTCCACTCTTATCCATGCCCCCCAAAATGACTGAGACTGAGGAATTTAAAGCAGTTGTAAGGGACCAAGCCCAGCTTTTAACTCACTGATCTACCCCCAGCATTCTACCAGCCTCTGCTCACACTCTGCATGAACTCTCCCTACACCTTCAACACTTTTCTCTCAACAACTCAAGCACTTACCTCCCAAGGCAGTCCCAAAGTCCAGCATTGTCAGACTCCCTTCAAATAGTGCCTGTTCACAGTAGACTCACGTAAAACCTACCATCTTTAAAAGAGAAAAAAGCGTGGCTGCACAAGTCCTTCTTGCTACAGGACCGTTTTTGTGTTCTTCTTGATCATGGGTTCCTCAAATGATGTGTCTGTAGCTGCTTTCTTCACTTTTTTTTTTTTATCTTCTATTCTCTCTACCAAAAATGTATACAATTTAGATAATAATGATGAAAACACATGCCTGCATATGTACAACTCAGGTTAAAAAGAGATATTATCTGTGTTTAAAAATTCCCTTTATGTATTTTCCCCTGATAAAAATCTTCTCTTTCTCCCAGAGGTAATCTCTCTCTCCTGATTCTTTTAAATGTCTCTTAGGGGGTGGAGTGTGCTCACATGCACATGTTCCCTGTCCCTGGGTGGCTCAGATGCTTTTGCTCTTGGATATTAAGCATAAAGTTGGCAGTTTGAATTTGCCCAGTGGCACTATGTAAGATAAACCTGGGAATCTGATTCTGCAAAATTATAGTCAAGAAACCCTTGTAGATGGCAATTCTACACAGAGTCACCAGGAGTTGGAATCAACTCGACAACAATAGATTTGAGAGACAGAGAGAGACCCGCGAGAAAGACAGACATGGTGGGAGGGAGAGAGAATGTGTGTCTGTCTGCCCTCCATATCCATGGGGGGTTCTACACATGCAGAGTCAACCTGTAGTTTGGGGAGAAGACAGCTATTAAGTGACCAAAGCAATCCCTCAAAGACTAACATGGGGCATGAAGTACCATTTACATACATCCTTTGCCCTGCATTGGGTATTTTAAGTAACTTAATTTCCCCTCAGTGTTGTGGAGTCAGAACTTACTTATAGCTAATGCTTCAGTGGGTTTTCAGAGGCTGTAAATCACATGGGAGGATATCTCATCTTTCTCCCACTGAGAAGATGGTGGATCTGAACCATTTGAGAAATGCAGTGTTTGGGTTCATGGCACAACTCCCTATAGACGATGCCACCAGTGTTCCCTTGTAGGTTATCTAGAAGTGATTTAAAGTATATGGGAAGATATGTGTAGGTTACATATAAACACTGTGTC